CGGGATTATGCATTCAGCTCTCCAGGCTGGCTCGAAGGGTGGTGTGGAAAGGTCTCCCCGTCCTGCCGATGGTGGGATATGAAGGCAGGCAGCACGGTCGCTGCCTTGTGGGCGAAGCACGGGCCCAGAGGAGCTGGGTTGCGGAGCACACAGGCGTCCTGGTCCCCACTCCAGGAGTCTGGCCCCACCCATCTCCCACAGCCTGGTGTCCTTCCTCTCCTCTTCCTTTCTGTTCTTCTGGCTCCAATGCAGGTCCATCGGGTCATCCCCAGCACTCACTGGGCCTGCGGGTGCTGTCCCGCCAGCCACAACAGGCTGCTGGCTCTGGGCAGGACCACCAGTGGCCAGTACTGGCCAGTAGAGTTCCATAGCTGCCCACACGAGGCCCACAGACCACCAAGAAGGCCCTCTCTGGAGTCCAGGCATGTGGAGAAGCCCACGGTGCCCAGGGCCCTCCTCGAGCTGAGTGAGTGCCCAGTGGGGTGTGCTCTTGGCTCCATGGAACCATCAGGGTGGGTTGGTGGATCTTGACATAGGCTTCAGGCGGGCACAAGGAGCCGACTGTGGTATGTACCACACACTCTGCCAACGTCAGCGTCGAGCACAGATGCGCCACGGCAGCTCTGCAGAGTCCTGGTGTGGGCCTCTCAGCAGTGTGTGGGCACCCTTGCGGTGGACAGCGCGAGTGTGTGCTGGCCCATGATGATCAGTTGGCAAACATAATGAACACGTCAACACTTGGAACTCACCGCCCTGGCTTCCCTGAGACATGCGCAACACTGGTTTTGTTTCTCTAGATGCCTTCGTTCCCACGGCAGGTTCACTGGGCAAGGCTTGTCAAGCACAAGCTCTTTACCACGAAGGGTGCGTCTCCGGCTTGTCCGCCCTGTGTGTCCCCCAGCACGGGCCATTCCAGGTTCCAACGGGGTGCTGGGTGTGGGGAAAGAAGGCCATGTGGCTTCTGGGGATGCTGCAGACTGCAGCCATGAGTGGGGTCGGGAGATGTTTCTGCGTAAAGATTGCGTTTATACTTGCAGAGAGCTGTCCCTGCTCTGCCACGGAATCACCTTTTTCTTCTTTTTCCTTTTTTTCTCTATGAATCATTCTAATGGATCCAGAAGACTGTTTTCCCCGGGGCGGGACTGTTTGTGTCACGAAGGTGTGGGGTGGAGGGTGAGGCTGCGGTCTTTCTCTCTGCAGCGCTGGGGCCTTCGCAGGAGGGAGGGGTGGGGGTGGAAGCCATACACCCCAGAGAAGAGCCCCGAAACAGGAATGAGGTGTGGCTCGCACTGCTGCCCGGATCTGCTGTGGGCTTCCTGTCTTATTCTTGACATTTCTTCTCAGCTGCTAACTCTACCAAGAGAAAGTGCAGCCTCCTGCGTCCTGGGGAGCTGGGTGACTGGCTTAGGAAAAATAACACAAAACCAAAGGAGAACTGTCCTCCCGCCCCCCTGGGAGAAGCAAGGGCATTTGGCCCAGCAGGGATGAGGTGCTGGGGGGTGGGCATTGTCCCAGCACCAGGCTTCCCTCGGGGCCCCACAAGGGGCCCACTGGGTGGAGCCTGGAATGTGGTGTGTGCCGAGGCCAGGGCTCCAGCCAGACAGAGCTGAGTGGGTGCCTTTAGCAGCCTGGGTGGATGGGGCTCCTCCTCTGAGCGGCGTTGGAGCAGAGGCTGGCAGGCGGCACGGCAGCTGGAGTCAAGCTTTGGCCCCTTCCTGGGCCAGCCCAGCGCTGCTCCCCCTCTGACCTCAGCGACCTGGGCCCCCCCTCCCCGCCTGCCCCTAGGGAATGCAGACTTGGAGCTCCCGTGGCCTTTGGCTGCTGGGCAGTGCAGTGGGGACACCAGCTGCCAGGACCTGAGGGCCATTGGGCCTTGTCCCTTTGCCTGGGGCCCCAAAGTGGAGCTAACTCTGTCCTTGCTCACGCAGGTGCCTGGGGAGTGGAAAGGGCCTCTGGGGCGGGAAGACATTAGGGCTGCTCCACACCAACAGTCCTGTGCCCTGTCTGCTGCAATATGGGTAGGTGTTTGCTCCCTCACCTGGTGGGCACCCCCTGAGTCTCAGGGCTGCCCGCCTGCCCATTCGCAGAGGGCCATGGCTGTTCATTCCAGATGCCTCCAGCACCTTCTCTGCGACGCTGGCCCTCCATGGCATCTATGCTGCCTGAATCCCAGCGGGTGCTCTGGCTCTCACTGTCACGGTGGGAACCCAGCCCCCTCCTCTCTCACCCCAGTCCCAGACTTTGAGAGGAGGTCTTCAAGGCGGGAGGCTTGCCGGTCACTCTGCCTGGGTCCCCCACTGCGGGGCTGATGGTCCTGGTTCCAGCACTGGACTTTTCTTTGTCCCTGTGGTGACACCCCCATGGGACCCCAGTTTCACCCACAGTCCAGTCTCTCCGCAGCAGGAGTTCTGCCTTGTTTCTTCAGACCTCCAGGAATCTGGCCCCCAAAATCCCAGTCTAGGCAGGGGCCCCTTTCTGACCAGTGCTGCCAGAAACTCTGCAGGTGGGTGGGACCTCACGGGTGGGCTGGTCCTCACGAGTGGGTGGGACTTCACAGTTGGTGGGACTTCATGAGTGGGTGGGACTTCATGGGTGGGTGGGATCTCACAGGTGGGCTGGGCTTCATGGATAGGTGGGACCTCATGGGTGGGTGGGACCTCAGGGCCGGTGAGACCTCACAGATGGGCTGGTCCTCATGGGTGGGCAGGACCTTACAGTGGGCAGGACTTCACAGGTGGGCTGGTCTTCATGGGTGGGTGGGACCTCAGGGTGGGTGGGACCTCACAGGTGGGTTGGTCTTCATGGGTGGGTGGGACTTCACCATGGGCGGAACTTCATGAGTGGGTGGGACCTCATGGATGGGCTGGTCTTCATGGGTGGGGAGGACCTCACAAATGGGCTGGGCCTCACAGGTGGGCGGAACCTCACTGATAGGCTGGTCTTCATGGATGGGCAGGATCTCACGGGTGGGCTGGTCTTCACAGGTGGGCAGGACTTCATGGGTGGGTGATACCCTAAAGGCTACCTGCCCTGTCTGCCTCCTGCCCACCCAGCCTGGTGCCCACCTCACCCACGACCCACCCCCTGGTGGCCCATGTTGTCTGCCCAGCCATTTAGGGAGAATGACCAGATCTCATCAAGTGGGTGTCCTGAATCCGGTTCCTTCTCA